ACGACGGAGGGAAACGAGAGTCGGTGACAAGAGTGGCGAGGACACGAGGGACAACAAGACAACCGGCACGGTAGTAGTCAGTGACAGGAGTAGGGGGGGAAGGGAGAGAGGACGGAGGAGGAGACGGGAGAACGGATTCAGGAGGAGGACGACAAAAAAGACAAACAAAGGAGGGCCGTGCGGAGGTCGGGAACGGGAGACGAGTGACGAGCACGCGGAGGACAGGGACGGACACAAGAGTGCGGGACAACAGGAGGAGGAGACTGCGGTGGAGGAGAAGACCAGACCGCCGGACTGGCGTCAGGAGGAGGAAACGTGGGACCAAACGCTGGAGGGGACGGAGTGTGAACAAGAGGAGAGGAGGGAAGACCAAGGGCCCGAAGGCCACTCACGGGTGGGAACAACTGCCGCTCCAGAGGGAGCTGCTGCGGTCGCAGCTGCAGTGGCGGTGTCCGCTGCTGCGGCTGCTGCTGCTGCTGCTGCTGCTCCAGCAGGTCCAACCGCCGCAACTCCTACCGCTCCCTCTCCAACAGCACCTGCTCCTCATGCTCACGCCGACGGGCCGCCTGGAGACGCGTGTCGTGGCGGTGGGGAGGCAGAGTGGACTCCGCAGAACCAGTGTCTCCAGCTCCAGTCTCCTCAGAACCAGCACCTCCAGTGCCATCGCCTCCAGCACCAGCACCCCAAGAACCAGCACCTCCAGTGCCAGCGTCTCCAGCACCGGCACCCCCAATGCCAGGACCTCCAACTCCAGCACCCCCAGAACTAGCACCTCCAGTGCCAGCACCTCCAACTCCAGCACCCCCAGAACTAGCACCTCCAGTGCCAGCACCTCCAGCTCCAACACCAACAGAGTCCACCTGTCGCGGAAGTGCCGAAGGCTGCTGAGGGGACTGTGAGGAGGACTGCGAGGAGGGAGACGCTACCTGACGCGCGATCGAGGGTAGAGGGGTAGCGTGGGACACACCAAACGGGGCAGGACCAGGGGGGGGAGGGGGAACCGGAGGAGCAGGAGCCGGAGGAGGAGAGGGTGCGAAGAAAAGGGGGGGAGGGGGTACCGGGAGACCTCGACAGGGGTACCGGGTGTAGTAGGACACTGACTCGTCAAACCGGACGTCATGGGAGTCTAGGAACTGGTGGAGGGGCGGGTAGTAAAAGGACCAGTCGACCGAGGCTACCGGGAAACCAAGGAAGACACAGGGGACGGCGCGAGCCGAGAGCTTGTCCGCAGAGGTGTCGCGGACAAGCGCAACGCAACCCCAGACACGAAAAGCTGACCCAACACCAGGGGACCCGGTCCAAAGACTGGTCGGTGAAGCCTCTGGCCGCGAGACGCGCGGCTGGAGGTTCAGCTGGTGAGCGGCGTAGCGAACCGCGTAGGGCCACAGAAAATGGGGCGCACGGGCATGAATCATGGACGTGCGGGCGATGTCCATGACCAAGCCAATGCGGCGCTCAGCAACCCCATTCTGCTGTGGGGACTCCGGCAGCGTCCAGGACTGTACGATGCCCTGCTCGCCGCAGAATCCGGCAAGAATGCCTGAGCGAAACCCACCCCTATGGTCAGAGTGGAGACAGGAGATACGACGGCCACGAGTGCCATCAGTGGCTAGAAGCCACCGGATCAGCGTAGAAGTCACCACGGACTTCTTCGCGAGAGGAAATACCGTGGTGTACCTGGAGAAGTTGTCGACGACCACCAGAAAGTAGCGCTCCCTCTCAGGTCCCTGCGTAGGTGCAGGGCCCCAGACATCCAAGTGGAGTGTCTGGAAGGGAACAGTGGCCGGACGAAGGGAGGAGGAGTGCGAAGTGGCACAAAGACGGCCGGCGACGCAAGGAATGCACGGCGGCGCAGGAGAGGGAGGGAGCGACGGGAAGACGCGAGGGAGATCTGAAACAAGACGGTGACTAGCCATAGTGCGGAGGCGGGGGATCGACGGGTGGCCAAGACGGTGGTGCCACAAGACGGTCCGGTGGGTGAAAGACCGACACGAGCAAGACGCAGCAACTAGACCAGACACAGCAACCTGACCGGACACAGCAACCTGACCGGACACAGCAACCGGTGGGGACGCAGTAACCTGACCGGACTCTGCTACCAGGGGGGGACGAAGCAACCTGACCAGACACAGCTACCTGCAGGGGCGGAGTGTGCAGGACGAAGAGACCTGAGTGGGGCTCTCTGGTGAACGTTGCAAGAACTGCCCCGGTGGAAGAGTCCGTACAGATCGCAGTCCTCCCGTGCGCAGGAAAAGTGACTGTGATCCCCCGGTCCTGAAGGTATCCAACACTCACCAAGTTCCGAGAGAACGAGGGGATGTAGAGACCAGTTGGGCACGGGAACCAGAGGAGACAGCTGGGCACGGGAGAGTGGTCGAGCTGCGAGCAACTGCTGGTCCTGAAGTAGGATTAACCAGGGCAACAGGGACTGGAGCCGAAAGAGGTGTGACAGTGGTGTGGTCGTGGAAGAAGCACTGAGACGCGCCGGAGTCCAGCGTGAAGGAGAGCGACGCAACAGCAGTCGTCACGGCTGGGCTAGTGACTACACAAGCACCTACACTAAAAGCACAAGTACCGACACTAGCAACAGGCAAAGGTCCTGAGCTAGGTACACGTAAGCCAAGAGATCCGTACGTGACAGAATAAACAGCATCCATAGACATATCAAACACAGGGTAACCACTACGAAACAGACCGGGCCAGATCGGGGGAACCGACTCAGGCCCAAAACGCTCACGGTAAAGGTCGTCGAGGCGGCTGTAGCAGCGCTGTGTAGAGTGGTCAGGACGACAGCAGGTAGTGCCAGCACCAGGGCCGGTCAGGATCCGGTACTGGCAGGGGCCGACGTCGCGGCCACCGCGACGAGCCCCCCAACTGGCTGGGCCGCTGCTGCAGCCAACGCTACCCGAACCACCATGCCCCCACGGCTGCTGAGGGTGCCACAGCTGCTGAGGGCGGAGCTGCTGCTGAGGGCGCCCCTGCTGCTGCGGAAGCCACTGCTGAAATGGCCGCTGCTGCTGTCCCTGCTGCTGGACAACCCTGGTGGACTCCATGATAAAAGCTAGCAGGGTGCAGGAGCGGCAGGCTAGGAGCGACAGGAGCTAGGGACGGCTGCAGTGAAAAACGAGAACAACTAGGAGCGCCAGGTGAAACTAGGCGAGTAACTGCTGGAGCACGGAGCAAACTGAGCTAGAAGCGCCAGGTGAAACTAGGCGAGGAACGGCCGGAGCACGGAGCAAACTGAGCTAGGAGCGAGGAGCGAGAACGGCTGGAGCGAGAACGGCTGGAGCAAGAACGGCTGGAGCACAACTGGCTGGAGCTAGAAACGGCGAGCTAGGGCTGGCTGGAGGTAGGAACGGCCAGAGCTAGAGACCGTAAATGCAGCTGTCAGCTGCCGCTAGTAGAGCCACTGGCGATGGAAAGTATGTGCGACAGTAGGGGCTGCAGTACTGACGGCTGCGGAATCGAGGCAACTGTGCAGGTCGTCCGGCAAGCAGGAACGCGGGCGACAGTTGCAGGCCCCCACCATAAACCCTTTTTTTTCTTAGGGTTTAATATATTTATTTATTTTCTGGCGCTAAAGCGCTCCGGGACGCGCTGCCTGCAGGGTGTGCTGCCTGCGGGGCACGCTACCCGCGGGGCGCGCTACCTGCGGGGCTGGGGCGATGGGCTAGGGCGCGGGCTGGGGCGACGGGCTAGGGCGCGGGCTGGGGCGACGGGTTAGGTCGCGGGCTGGGGCGACGGGCTAGGGCGCGGGCCTGGGCGACGGGCTAGGGGCGCGGAGGTCCGCGACGGCGCGGGCTAGGGGCGCGGAGGGCGCTAGGCGCGGAGGTGGAGGGCGCTAGGGCGCGGAGAGGGCGTGGAGGGCACGGAGGCTAAGGTGCGGAGGGCGCGGAGGGCGCGGAGGGCGCGGAGGTGCGCTAGAGAGGGCGCGGGCTAGGAAGTAACGAGGAACTAACCTACTCGTGATACCATCTCAAAGTAGGAAGGCAACGGAATAGTTTGACTAGAAAGGAGTTGGGGTACAAATAGGAAACCCTAACATGTTTGTACTCACTAAGGAGCACCTCACTACAGCCTATCACAAATATCAACATTTGACACCTGCTACGGAACTGGCGATCCACACGTAGCGCGTCCCTGCGATCACAAATGTCAGGGTGTATGCTTAGTCATTAAGTCCGCAATGGCCGACCACAACAAAATCGTTGTACACCTTGTTCAGCTTCGCTTACCGATTGGTGCCTGGGGCTAGCAGGGAGAAGGGTTGGTGAGTTAACGCGGCTTTGGGGCAATTAGTACAGGTGTATAGCTATGACATGCTCCGTAACTCGGTTCTGCCGGGGCGCTGAATTGCTTCAGGTGCGAATACTTCAGCGGTGATGCAGTTGTTGAGGGACTGGCGCGGGGGATGTTCGAGTCGCTGGAGCTAGAAGAGATCGTCCGTTGCGCGGACTCCAGGGGTGCGAGAGATAATGCGCGGACTTCGGCGGAATCTTCTTCAGGTATGTGCTCGGGTTCTGCTTGTCTTTCTTCCCCCACCGTTTCTTCTTAAGTCGCCGTTGACAGCATTAGCGAGAGTAAGGTGCGGTCGGGGATGACGGAGAGTGGAATGCTCGTTCCCGGAATGGTGTCTGGAACGAGGTCAGGTTCACGCTGCTCAGGGTCGGGGCCGTAGTCGATTTTTGTGTCTTATTAAAACTGCAATTGCACCTGTATCCAGGGTACCATGTCATCATTCAAGAGTTCCATATATTTTCTCACAATTTTGTAGTTTCAGTACACCTTAACAAGCCTAGGATGCAGTGCATACTACTACACTACCGGTATGCATGAAGAGACATCCTGCTACCACCTGCAGCAGTGACTGCTGCAGCGCAGGGATGGTGAGCAGCCAACAGCTCCACAAATCTGGAAAAGTTCAATCACCATAACTTGCTACTCCCACTCCTCAAGCCAAACATAACCCCCACATCCTCCTTCCCCCCTCAACCGCCTCATCAGATCTTGGTATAAGTGGGGATGATCACCCGATCCACCCCATGGGCAATGAACCATCGCCCCACATACAGGCCCGGGATGCGAATAGTGGTCCACTGGTCTGCCTTCAAGTACGGCCCTCTAGCAAACGACACAGCACTGTTGTTCCCCATCGGCGTCATCTTGAAGAGCGGCTGTCTCAGCTGCGTGCCTATCGCCGTCCGCAGCTTCACCTGCCTCATCTGCGGGAGGGTCATTCGGCGGCGCAGGATGTGGAACGCTGTGATGTTGTACAGTGTGGGGATGCTGCTGCTCTTAGCGGGGATTCTCTTAGCGAGGGCTTCTGCCTGCACGTTGTTGGGGATGAGGATGGACGCGTCTCGCAGCGCCGACAGATCGTACTTGGAGTTCACTGCAGGGGCAGGGCGGGGGGGGGGGTTGTGCAGGGGAAGGAGGCAAGGGAGGGGGCGGGTGGGGGGAATGGAGGGGGATGGAGAGCGGGAAAGAGGGGAGAAGGAAGGCACAGTGAGTAATTTCGGAAACAAAGAGGGGAAAGTGGGGCGTTGGGGGAAGGGGAGGGAACTTGGCCCAGACAAGATGGGAATGAGCACGAAACGGGCAACTTGGTTAGCGAAACAAAGAGGGATTCAAGGTACTTGGCCACGTAGTCGCTGGTGCAAGGGCTTACGTGCGAAGTTGATGTATTTGGTGGCGTCCTGCGCGTATCGCGAGTACTGCGGGTACCGCTTCACGATGCTCTTCGCCATGCTCTGCAGCTCCGCGCGCAGCTGCGCCTTCGTCGGCGGAGGAGGCTGCGCGCAGCTCGTCGGAACGCACGCCGCCGCCACGCACATGACTGCTACGAGGAGCAAGCCGCCTCCGAGTCGCGCCGCCATTTTCCGGTGATTGCCACGAGCTTCAGACACGTAACTGCGCCTTGCGGATGGTATCGCCCTTGAGAGTTAAGAGTGTAGTACACGCTGATCGTTGAGTTTGATCGCTGATCGCCCTAGAGAGACTAAAGAGGATAATCCTGAGATGGAGAGTATGGGCTGGTTGGAATTTCTGAGGGGCTCTATAACAGCTGGTATTATCGTTGTCGTTGGAATTGTTCGTCGAGCTGGGAGCTAGGACGTCGTCGTATTAGGCTGTTGCTAAACGGTTGTGATGTATGTAGGTTCTAACCAAGCCGTATTAATAGGCTCACGAGAGGTGCCGTGCTGGCCGGAGCGCTCCTGTCCGGATCGCTCCTGGCCAGATAGACCCTTCACAGCTCGCCCGTTCCATGTAACGCCCAAAGGCGCACACCGCGACGACTCGCCGCCATGGACACGCGAGGAAGCTGAGTCGCCGCCAGCAGCGGTGACATGCGGGGAAATCGCTGCGCCATTGTCGCCATATAGACGCCGTGCCGCGCCGATTCGGCGCGGAAGGGCTGGCTAGATAACGCGTCAACATATGGTGTGATCCTGACAGGAAGACGAGCGAACCGTCCTTTTTCTACATTTCATCCTGTGAGAATAGTCACGTGTGTGAGCGGGTGTGAATGTTCCTAGCCGACACCTCTAGTCGAGAGCATTTGTGAAAGTTCCGTTACTGCGGTCTAGAAGGTTTTGATCGCGTTACAAAACGGTTTGAACGTGTTTAGAGAGCTGACCAATGCCTCCGATCTTTTGGGGGCCGATCTCCATGCTAGGGTGAACCTTGATTGCGTTTGACGCGTGTGCGATGACGCCTGTGCGAAGACGCATGTACGAGGATCCTGTGCGACGAAGCCTGTGCGATTCCGCGTGCACGACGACCTTTTTGCGAAACAGTGATTCGGTGCCACGAGGTGGGGGGGACGGTCAGTGGGACCAGTCGATCAACTGTATGCAGGTTCCGGGTGTACTCTCAAGTCATAGTGGTCCTTTTTATTCTCTTCCCATACCAAGTGCACAAAAACATCGGGCATGTCATGCATGTTCTATTTAGCAACCACGAAAAAAGGAGGATACCTGTGCCATATACTTGTGTATGTTACAACCCCATGGGGGAATTAGCAAGGATCTGGCTCAGGGTTGTTCGCGGGTAGTTTGCAGCGGAAGTGAGAATTGACGACACCTATCAGAGTGAATGCAAAATGGCATATGTGATTATAACCAAGAATTACAAAGATTTATATAAGTTTACAAGGGAATACGAAGCGACCTAGCTAGCCATCAACTAAGGGTTACATTCCCTTATCACAGCGAAACTTAACCGTGCGGCGCGGGAACCCGTTTTATCTCTCTAATGTATCTCCTGCGACGATCTCGATGCTTCAACTGCTTTCGACTCCTCCGGTCATCTCGACTCTTTGTCTTCATCCTCGGTAGTGCTTTGTCTCGGTTACGTACAGGAATGATGTGTTAACTCCTTATCATATCACCCCCCTTCATTCTTGGGAGTAGCAAGTTCTGACTCGCTAGACCATTCCGCTGAGGTTGGCGCAGTGTTGGTACTGCTGACGTGACAGTCGCTTCATGAGGAAGTCAACTGTCATGCCACCGATAAGACAGTACGTCAAGTTAACCTCCCCCTTATCAATTTCGTCCTTGACGAAGAAGTATCGCAGCACGATGTGCTTCGTGCGATTGACGAAACCAGGTTTGTTTGCGATCTTGATCGCGCTCTGGTTGTCACAGTGGAGGCAGAAGGTTGGTGACGTCGCAATTTTCTCCTCTTGCAGAAGCTCATGTAGATAGAACCCTTTGCGAACTGCAGCGGTGGCGGCGATGAATTCGTCTTCCGTCGACGACAGGGCAACCAGCTCTTGCTTCCGGGAATCCCAAGAGATTGGTCCCGTCGACTCAATCCAGATGAGGAATCTGATTCTTGACCGTGGATGGTCAGGATTAGCGGCGTGATTGGCGTCTATGTAGTCCACGAGGTTGAATGACTGAGTCGGGATTGTTGAGTAGGAGAGACCAATGTTGGGTGTTGAGATGAAATAATGCAGAGCGCGCTGGAGATCCGGAAGGTTCTCAGCCACTGGCTTGCGAGAGTAATGGGCCAGTTGGCTCGTGATGTAGGAGAGGTTGGGCCTGCGGGTGTCTAAGGCGAAGAGCAAGGAACCCAGTTGTTGCTGGTAGGTGTGCAGACCTACCGGGGACCAGGGCTGTCGATTGGTTTGGAGCCAGAACTTAAGAGGCTGAGGTGCCCCAAAAGTTGCCCTGAAATTTACGGGCTGAGAGCAAACCTGGCACTTGAAATCAGGGCTACCAACCTTTTTGCACTTTCGCTATGGAAAAAGCTACATCTCTTCGGAGAAAAGTTGCTTGGCGAACTACTAAGAGCCAGCTAGGCAATAGACTGAGGTACGCAACATGTCGATGGATTTGACGGGGATGGGAAAAGGAAGGAAGTAGGGGAAGTGGCTGGGAGGAGGTGGGGGGGCGGGTGAGGGAATGGGAGGGAGGGAGGTATTAGTATGGGACAATAAGGGCTAGCCGCGGGATCTGCACTTGAAATCCGGGTTAGGCCCACAACCAGCACTTTACGGGGACGGGCTGCCCTCAAAGCCAACCCTTTAAATTCGAAAGCTAGGCCAAATCCAACCCTTAATGTTCAGGGCATTAAGGGCATTTGCCCTTGAATCGTCAGCCCTGCCGGGGACATGTGTTTGTTGTCCGGTTTGTAGTTGGATCCAGGCGTGCGGTAGGGAGTTTAGAGTGGTGCAGGTGAGATGTTGGAACACTCCCCAAGTGTTTCCGCATACTTCGGAGCTGAGAGGTGAATAGCTTGTGGAGCGTAGGAGATATTACCGGTAAGTCCAAGGAACTGCCTCACGTCATGATTGGTGATGATGTCAACGTGGCTTCCTAGGTTCCCCTCGAACTGATCAAGCAAAGTGTTGCTCGTCCCTGTGTATAGTGGATCGTCGACATAGACAGTGAGGAGGACGTAGTTGCCATAGAAGTGCAGGCGGTACATCCATGGATCGTGGGGAAACTGAGAGAACCCAATTTCAATCAGGATTTTGTGCAGATGCTATTGGCAGAGTCGGGCGCCTGCTTGATCCCGTACAGCGACTTCTTCAATCGACAGACTCTTGAGTCCCCTTCCCTGTAGGTATGTGGATGCTCCACTTATATCACCGCATCTACCAATGCGTATAGGAACACATTTTTCACATCAATTTGTCGAAGTGGTAGGTGCCTGGCGGCGGCAATGGCGTGAACAATGCGCATAGAAGTGTGATGACTTACGAGGGCGAAGGTTTGGTCAAAGGCGATTCCATGGCGTTGGTCATAACCGCGTACGACTTAACGAGCCTTGAAGCACTCGATGGAACCATCGGCTGCGGTTTTCACGTGGAAGACCCATTTGCCCGACAACGCTCGTCTTCGTTTTATTGCGGCTCGATCGACAAGCACCCAGGTGTCGAGCAACTCTAACGCTCTCAGCTCCACGTCCATTGCAGCTCGCCACTTCTTGCTGTGGGGATTTGTCAAAGCTTGCCTCGGGTTTTCTGGCTCGATGACTCTTGGAGCTGTGGTTGTTGCGGTGTGAAGCCCGAGTAGTTGCAGCCTGGACACTGTAGTGTTCTGACGGTGCTTAGGGGTGAATTCCTGTATATCGTCATCGTCGCTTTTGGGCGCATGTGAGGCAGGTCGTGAAGGGTCTCTACCACGCGATGGTCCAGGTGGTGCTTCGTCATCGTCGTCGTTTTTGTCGCGGCGACGCGGATTAACCCCAAGATGTTCCCTGGGGGCATATTGGTCGAGGATTGCTGCGTTAGCCTTGTCTTCAGTGGTTGCGAAGCTGCGTCCGCCGTACGCGTACACTAGATCCGTGCCTGCTTGTTGGTCTGCGCGGAACTAGGCGAGGGTAAGCCTTCCGTAAAAAAGAACATCGCGCGCGGGTGCGATCTTGCTGCTTAGTAGGTCGAGGATGACCCATGCCTTGTACTCGTAACTAATGCCGAGATGAATTCCCCATCGCACGCGGCTTGTGAATTTCCTGGTGGTTGAGGTAGCGGGCCTGTACAGCACCATGCAACCCCACACGCGGTGCATTCTAGTGTCGCACTTCTTGCCCGTCCACTTCACGTGCGGCGACGAGTAGGTGGCAGGGAGCCTTGACTGCTTCAGGAGCGCGTGCACCTTCGTCATGAGCGTGCGATTCGTTCGTTCCACGACTCGTTGCTGCGGGTGCGCATATATTTGTGATAGTTATATGCTACACTGAGGTGCCCCTTAGAGGGTATAACGCTTCTATGTTTCCCTATTTGTACCACCAAACTGCCTAGTGCAGTCATTCCGCTGTTCACATTCTGAGATGGTATCATCTCTAACTAATTCCTAGGACCCTAGTTCCTTTCGTCCCGCAGTCCCTCCGATCTCCGCTCTAGCTCCGCGAGCATAGCTCCCTGCCTATTGGTTAGGATAG